GATAGAACAAGTGAGTACATGGGTCATTAATGGGGGAGGCTTAAGTGTCCCAGATTGGGAGGAGATTTGCCGTGATCTTCAGAGGGCCGGGCGTTGGTGGCATACACCTTTAATCCCAGCACTCTGGAGGCAGAGGTAGGTGGATCTCTGTAAGTTCAAGGCCATCCTGGTCTACAGAGCGAGTTCCAGGACAGCCTCCAAAACAATACAGAGAAACCCTTTCTCGAAAAACAAATAAACAAACAAAAAAGTAAAATAAAATAAAAAATCTCCAGCCTTTCACCTGATCTACTGAGGTCAGGAAAGCAAAGGGGAACTGAGAGATCGCCCTCAAAGGCTGGCCAGCAAGTAAGGCTACGAGGGTGTATTGCAAAGGGGTACCAAGTTAAGAGTACCAGGTTAAATCTCCAGGCCTTTGCCCAACACCAAGGTTGGGAAAGAAAGGGGAACCTGAGAAGTCACCCTCAGCTGGATGGTGGATTGAGTAAATCTTAAGGCTTTTTCCTGAGGGATCATCCTCAATTGGAGGATGGATTGAAAATGGGTAAATTGAAAATTGGTAACAGTTAGTAAACAGCAGATTGGATTAGAAAGAGTACTCAAAAACTTCAAATAATTATCAAAAGTTGTTTGGGACATAGTATTGTTTACAATCTTTAAGTGATTTTCAGAATGCTTTGGGAAATACTTAACGGTTATATCCTTTTTTAAAAGGCATCTACTAGTAATTTAGATAGTGATTACAATTCACCTAGATAGTTAACTAAGGAGGGTAGACAAATCCTTCTACTGTTATAGTCCAGCATCAACAGATGTTAGCAAACAGTTCAAACAAAATTTTAAAAAATAAAAAAGGGAGCCAGGCGTTGGTGGCGCACGCCTTTAATCCCAGCACTTGGGAGGCAGAGGCAGGTGGATTCCTGTGAGTTTGAGGCCAGCCTGGTCTACAAGAGCTAGTTCCAGGACAGCCTCCAAAGCCACAGAGAAACCCTGTCTCGAAAAACAAAAATAAAATAAAATAAAATAAAAAAGGGGAGTAATGTCCCCAGGCCCCCACATGATTCATTATATAATGCACTCCTCATTTTAAAATTTTTAAAATGTGGATGCCAGTGAGCAACCTGCTACAGACAGATTCTGGCATGATGGAACTTGAGCGACTTTTGCTCAGGTCAAATGGAGACATCCATGCACTAGACAGTGGAGAAGACCCGATTCTGCCCTAATTTGGGGTTGAGGGCATGTTTGTGTTTTCTTGCAGAAAAAGAATAAAGCTTGGCAGCTGGCAGAATATTTGGTGAAATTCATGGAGCAGAGTAAAACTGGACCTGAGACCATGGGAGCCTGCCCAAGCCAGTTCGAGTGAGATCTCCTAAATCAGCATTCCTGACCCTTGATGTCATCAAATCTACAGTCTGAGAAAAAAAGGAAACAGTCAGTCAGTTCGAGATTTCCAGTTTCTCAACAGGCCTGCTGGATCAACCTCCCGGACCCATGAGTTTTCATCCCCAAAGCCAATAAAGAACTGGAATGTTAGCAGTTTGCCCTTGACACACCTTGAAAAAACAGAATTCATTTTGCCAGTTTTTCCCTTTGGAGAAAAAATGACCCATTTAAAATAACTGGACACTGGTATGGACGATGATGAGTGGCAAAAGCCCCTTTTCAGTATTTGAAAAGGACACAGCCACTTGAAATACCAGCCTTGGTGGTTCCTGTTTCTGGAATCCTGCCTATGCCAGTGTATTTTTCTGGAGAAATGCAACTTGTCCTTATGCAACAAAAAAGAGACTTTGGCATCACTGCTGCTGTTGTCGCAGCCATCACCATATCTGTGGCTGCCGTGGCCAAAATTGGAATTGCCCAATCTTCCGCCAAAGAAGAGACCTTTAACAGCCTTGCTGTTAGAGTTAGCAAAGCGCTGTCCATCCAGAATGTGCTCAATTCACATTTTCAGTTGGGGTTGCTGACGTTAAATCAACAAACTGCATCACTACAGGAACAAATTGATGCTCTGTGGATAGTGCAACAAGCCTCTTGTTCACATTTTTATCATGCTACATGCGTAACTTCAATGAGTATATCTAATGTATCTGTGCAAGTGCACCTTCTAAATGCTTTCCTGATTGGATCTTGGAATGATATTTTTGTAAACTATATCACAGATTTGGCCCATCAAACTGTAACTGTAAATCATACGAGGATTACCCTTGTAACAGAGGAAGGCTGGTAGAATGCTATGGCCCAGATCGTGGGATGGATACAGTGAATGGGAGGTGCTATGTCAATGGGGGTCCTGGGAGTGGTGGCAGTGGCAGTAGGCATTCTGGCTTTATGCCTAGTTCAAATGTGCCTTGTTCCATAGGCAACAGATCCATCACCAAGTATTGCTCATCTTAGCCTATGGCAATCCCGGTAGCCATGAAGTCTGGCTATACATGATTCAAGGATGAGGTTCTCTGATGATGGGCAACCTGTGGGAAGAGACCTCCAGCATAAGACAGGGTCGCCAGGTCCCACAAAGATGGATAAGGGAGGGTGACCCTACTTGACCTAAGACAGGAGTGCCTCATTTGAAAATTAATAAGGGGGAATTGTGGGAACAAGAGACCTTGGCCAGAGGCCCACTTCCTGATCATCATGGGAGCAGGCAGCTGTAACCGATCACAGAGAAGACATGTTAACTAAAAACATGTTTACTAAAAACAATCTGGTGCCGTAAGAAATGTTTACTGGAACAATAAGTTCCTGATAAGGGCTCACCCTCGGGAACACCCTACCTTGATCTTTCCAATGACTAACCGCCTCTGCCTCGTCCTGATCCCCCACCCCTGCCTATGGTGCCAGAGTGTATAGCCAGCTGGGGTAAGAATAAAAAGCCTTCTTTTACCACCGACTGGTCTCTGTGTCATCAATCCTGACACCCTCCACAGATTCTTGGTACCAGGCTGCGCAGCAGGCACAGCAGGTCTGAGCTTTTTGAAACCTCAAATCTTACCCTAACTTGGGCCTAAGTATTCAGATATACCCTTGGGTGAGCATTTTTTTCAAACAAATAAGCCCACAGAGGTCTAGATAGTAAACTGAAGTCATCAGTGGCAATGCTCTTGAAAAGTGGCAAAAAAGGCAAAATAAAAAGTGTACTAAGTAACCCCTAGTAGGAGACTTTAAGGTCACCCTAAGTGCGCCCATTAAGAGAAATTTAGAACACCAGGCACCCCTATCTTTCATTTGCCTACAAGCAAGTGTTCTTTGCCACATACTTCCACCATAGTATTCTCATTCCAGACCTCAAACAAAGAGAAGAAGCAAACCCTGAATGAAACCTCTACTCCCATGAAAAGTAATAAACCTACTCTCTATATGTTACCTCAGGTTTTTCTTAAAGTGAAGAAGTAACAGGCACATATAGCTTCTATGCCAAATTAATATTCAAGGAAATGCCTTTGGGTAAGTAAAAGCTGGTTAACAAATAATGTGATCATGAATAGACTCGAGGGGAGCAGAGAATCTTCCAGGTATCTTGTATCAGGAAAATGTTGAGCAGAATGTGATGAGTTCAATAAGTTGAGAGAGTAGAATTGCTTCAATAGTCATTAGGCAGCTGCCTCACTGCATCTGTCCCCTTTTTTCTCCAGTCCGCATCTCTTACTCCTCACTCTCCGCCGAGTTGCATTACCTCATATAAAAAGTCCTCTGAAGTACTGCATCATAACTCCAGGATAATATCCACTCAACCTGCTTTACTTGCTGCCTCAGAGCCCAGAGCAGTTTCCATCATCTGCACTCTTAAGCTTCTTTCTGACTATTTCACCCAAGTCTGGGCCTTTGAGAGACAGGATATGAAATTTCCCCCATCTTCTGTTTATTTGACTTTTATCACAGAACAAATGTACACATTTATGAGTGAAAGGGAATAGAGATAGTTAAACATTCTATTATTGTGGCACATATGTAAATTCAGTGGCCTGTTTTGTAAGATCAGCTCTGGGCATGTATTAGGGGAATAAATTAATTCAAAGCCTCCCAAGGGAAACTCAGAGGCGACCCATGGGATTTTTATCTCCTCAATATAATATAGAAAAAGACCATTGACAGATCGAGGCACAACGTGATTTGTTTCAGAAAATCTACACAGATGCTGTAGACTTCTGGAGACAATAATTACTTATATTGGAACTGAGAAAAAATAGAAAGAAGGGCAAATATTAGTTCCATTGAGTAAGAGTATGGGGTTCAGTGTGATGTGAAAAGAATACTTGAGGAAATCTTTGGAAGGAAGCAAGATTCACCAAAAAAGGACATAGACAGCAGGCTATCAGAAGAGAGGTGTTTCCATTTAGACTGAACCTTTCTTTGCACATTAAAAAAATTAAGTGTTGCCAATATATTTCAGTTACATGATGCTAACACCAAGTAATATCATTTCCTATTAATGCCCTCAAATGTCTTTTTAATAGCAAAGAAGGAAAAATTAAAAAGGGAAGTGGCAGAAATGTAGGAAAGCAAGGGAATACCGAGAAAGGGAGGCAACGCTGGTATCTACAAGGGTCACTTCCCTATACTCACAGCCTCTGGAGGAATCGCAAGATGTAACAGGCATGCTGTCCCTATGGTTGTCATGCTAGAAGCAAATGGTAAATTACAAAGGGAAAATGTTCTTTCTAAAAATGCAGTGTTGCTGTACACACACTCGGATGTGTTATTGTTTCAATTCTTAGTGATGGTGATGATCTCTTCTCAGAAAGCTCTTCAGAGTGAGAAAAGAATCTATGCTAATTGCAACATTACCATGAAATAATATAATCTCTACAAAAGACGGTTGTCAACAAAGGGAACAGACCAGGTGTACAGCTTTATTTGCAACCCATTGCTCCACTCTGGGAAACACACTCTATGAATCCTGTAAAAAGATGAAACTCTCAAAAGACCTCAGTTTGGGTCGTCAAACAGCATGTTATTCCCCTCTTCACACATTCCACAGCTGACAAAGCACATACCTTCCACGGTTGCTCTCTTAGGCTGGATGGTGATGGCTCCTTCTGCAATATCTTCATGCTGATGAAGTGGGTTGATTTTGGATCCCCAGCTGTCTGACCCCACCCAGAGAAAATGGCCCACTTGGTCAGCTCTTTTGGCTGCTGCTAGGATCTGCCTATGGAAAGGAACACAAAAGAGCATATAGGTGTAAAAGTTGAACATTAGCATCTTCAAACTCAAATAGAACCAAAGGAAGCTCTGCAGTCTCAAAACGTAAGCAATCAATAGCAAAGGATATAAGGAACTGTATACTACATTTGTAAAGAAATTCATAAACCAGCAAAAATGTCAATGCTCTTTGAGTAAAACAAGTGAAAGATGTTAGAAATCAAAGAATAAACTTGCTTCTAATTTAAATTAAATAAAAAATTTGAAAAGAAAGACACATGTAATAAACTAGAGATGCTTATTCACAATTATTAGAAATTGTGAAAGAACAACTTAGAAAAATATTCTAAATGCCTTTCTCAAAATGTCCAAATAATATCTTGTTTTACTTCATTTTGTGACACTGGAATTCAGGTAGAGCAGTGAGATAGTAATAAACCTCATTTCTAAAAAGTACTATGTCAAAAGAGATGATAGTTCTCCAACAATTTATTAAAATAAACATAATTCTACTGTCAACATGAATGTTCATTTCCAATGTTTATAGATGAATATAGTTTGCAAATGTCAAAAGCAACAAGAGAAAAAGTATGCAAAGGAAAAATGATACTAATGAGAAAGTTATCAGATTAGGATTTGGGAAAGAGGTGAAAATTGAGAGATGTGCACATGCACACATATATCCACTTACATATACACACCTGCATACATATACACAAATACACATACAGGTATACCCACAAAAACAATCCCCCACACTCAAATTCTCATCAGTCAGGACTTTCAAAGTTCAGGTTCCACATAGGTTCAGAAGTAAATCAATAAGGATGTATTTTAAGACAACATGTGAGACACTTAAAAACTGGGATAACATTTTCTCTCTCCTAGACCAAAAAATGTACTAGAAATTTTCTAATAAAATCATAAGAAATTGTTCTCTAAAAGTGTGAACATCCAAGCAACAAAAGGCAAAGGAGAGATTGTTGTGTGAAGCAAGCAAAGAAGTAGCAATGACTGAATATATACCTGTGTATTAAGTACTGAAAGGCAAGAGTACGTAAAGGGGCTAAACATCTACTTTAAAAATGTCATATTAGAAGGAAAAATTATTCTGGATTTTTATCTACCCTTTCCAAAAAAATGTACAAATATTCCAGGAAGGAATCAGTTAATGCAGTAGCCAATTCTATACCTCTGAGACTCCTTCATTGGATAAGTTCATGTCTATAGCTGGTAAGTTCCTATCTCAAGTCTCCACAGGTACACAAGACCCCAATGAAAAAAAGAGAAAAAAATAACAATGAAAAGGACACCAGTGTAAAGTAGGGGAGAAATGAAACAGGAGAAAATACAAAATAGTAAGTTGATTTAATTAAGGTATATAAGGACAACAACAACATATGAGAAAAACTAAAAACTAAAAATATAAATAAGAACTTATATATTGAAATGAAAAATCACAGTTACTTTTGAGAAAAAGCTAGGAAAAGTAAACTAAATGTCAAAAATAAGAATTCTAAGGTAAGTATAAGTCTACATGCAGTCAATATTTCCTGAACAAATGTGTAGCAAAAAATAAGATTATTTTAAACAGTAGCTTTTAACTATTGTTCATAAGACATTTCTAGAGATCATTTTATAGTTTGTTAATTATTTCCCAATCAACTGATAAGCTGAGAGAATGAATTTGTGAATTAAAAAAGTAAACTTTTGTAAAAATAGAGGAACAAAACATTATAAAAGTACTAACTTTGGAAATACTGAAAATATCCTATAAAGCTGAGACGAACTAAAAAAAAAAGAGAAATCAGTTTAACTCTTAAAAGACAAAGGAGACAATGATGAAAATAATAATACAATAATGAGAAGTCTGAAAAAAATCTTTTAATTCAGAATTAAACTATTTAACTCATAGTGAAAGCCAATGCAAAGAGAATTTTCACATGTGCCCAATGGTTCTTGTGATTCTCTTGACATGGTAAAGTTACACTGTCACATATGATACAAATTAAGAATTTTCCAACTTATAAGTAACCATCACTGTTTACTAAACCATTTGGAGGGCAAATATTGTTTAAATAGTATGAGTAAATAGTGTCAACCTGCCAGCTATTAATTATGGGAATCAGAATACGCAAAAATGTTTTTAATAAAAATGATATATCCTTTTAGTTTAAGTGCACCCCATGCATGCAGATGCCTTTAGAGACCAGAAGAATGTGTCAGATCTCCTGCAACTGCAGTTACAGGCAGTTGTGAGCTGTGTGATGTGCACACTTGTTCCTCTGCAAGAACAATAAGTGCCCTGAAAAGCTGAGCCATCTCTCCATCCCTGAAATAGTTTTCCCTCAGTTTATCCTTTTAAAAGAAGTTATTCAAGAATGTGCTCCAGCAATGTGAAGGAGGGAAATCAGAATAAAAATCTTTTGAGAAGAAGAAATCAGGAGAGAAGAGAGAAATCAGGGCGGGCAAATGCTAACAACTTAGTTACTGGTTCCTAATTATGAATGAGTTATGGAGTTCTCAGAAGGGTGTGTCCAAAAACCTCTAAGAATTGCAATATTGACTTATGAATCTGGAATAAAATGGATGTATCTGTAATTTCAACCAAAATAGGAAAATATTAAAACTATTTAATCAAAACAACTAAATAAAACATTATCATATTAACTTTAGGTAAAACAAAAATACATCACAGCACCAAAGGAAGGAATTTTTTCGATTCCAGAGAGTTTGGCATTTGAATAGTACTAATACTATAAACACTAATTTTAATACACTAGAAAGATAGAATGAAGATGTTGGGATCTTTGAAGTGATTTATATACCTTTAAATCATCTGAGATGTAAATGAGTGGACAGTGCAGGAAATCAGTAATTTTAAGCTTCCTTTCTGTTCATTATGCAGATAAAATTAGAATAGTTTAAAGAGTTGAAATTGCTGCCCAAGAGAAAAGAGATAGAGATTATGGGTGGCAGGATAGGAAGAATCCTTTTGCATTAGACTGTTTTTGTCGTTTGTAATTAAATACACAGGACTGGTGAGATGTCTCAATGGACAAAAGTACTTGGCATTAAACCTGAGTACCTGAGTTCAATTCTTGATGTCCACAAGATGGAAGGCCAGACCCCAGCAGAGGCTGTTCTTTGTCCTCGTGACTGTATTATGCATGTGCACACACACAATAAATATTGTTAAAAACAATTACATATGTGTATACACATTTCTTAAAAGAAAATAATGGGACTGTGAATAAAAAATGCTTGCTTGTGTCAAAGACTTTAGTTTAAAACACAAAAGCAATAACTTTTTAAATATGATTTTTAATCCCTGTATGATGAGAACTGACCAATAAATACATATGTTTATGTATGTATTTGTGTATGTGAACATACACGTATGGTTCAAATACACATTTATATGAGATCACAGGAAGATAGTGATGATAACTCATTGCTAAATTTTTTGGAGAGATTATTGATATCTGTCAGATGTGGGAAAGAAACCAAGAAAACAGGGCAATACCAGATATATATAAATAAATTAGCACTTACTCAAAGTTTGGACAGTGACTAACCTCTACTGTGAGTCACAATTGATCCATCTAGATAGACTCTGTGTAATCTCCATACTTCAGGAGAAATCTGGACTGTATGTACAAGTTCCTTGCAAATATTAAACTGTGTTTAACTAGAGTCTGTCTCTGAGTTCAGAAGCTACAGGTCTTTTTAAAAAATAGTTTTAATTATCACTTATAACCATTTACTTTGACTTTTAGTTTTTCCACTAAATTGGGTGAAAAATAAATTTACACTATTCTTTTATTTTAAAAAAAGTTGTTTATTTCCTAAGAGATTTACAATGGGCACATTTTGCTTTTATGTGTAAAATTTTATTTTGAAGACAGATTTTATTCTTCTTTATCCAAATTATCAATACCTATGACTGATTCAGAATTTAGCATCCCTTCAAAATTGAGATATCAATGCCATCTTATTCGTGTTCTCAAAGTATCTGAAGCTAATGTTGCAGGAAATGTCAAATTTTTCATCTCCAATGTAAAGTTTTGAAAAAAATTAACATTCTGGGGATTCGCAATCTTTAGATGACTCTGCCTTTAGGATCACATTCTCAAAGAAACATATGCAGAAGACTTTTTATCACTGAGCTCAGAAACAAAGATGCTAACACATGTATTGTAACAGAATAATATTCAATACTGAAAGTAGCTACATTATAATAAATATGCATACTTTATGAGGGGATTATGTACACTGTCTATTCAAAATATAAGCTACACACTACAGGACAAAAGTATTATAATTTTAATCACAAAATTGTCATTTTAAAACTCAATATAGACATACATTTCTGATGTATCACATATTAGCAATTGCATAAAATAGGCAAAAAAGATTTATAAAGTGGTTGACAAGACTAATAACAACATCAGGGGGAAACTGGAAACTTAAGACCAATATGAAGAAAACACAACCTCACAAGTAACTAAAACACAAAGAGGAATAAGACAACCCAAGAGTGATGCAAACAGCATTGTCCTAGGAGAGAAATCATGCATTTAATCATTATCCAAAACATTGTCCCAGAGAAGGGCATATATGAAAGAGAACTTGAAATAGACAAAGAGAGTTCAGTGAAACACTGCCATGAGCAAAAGACATGTGGAAGAAGCACCCAGAGCATGCTGCTAGGTCTGGATCAAAACACTTAAGTTGACAACTACATATGTGCTGAATGTAAGGACTAAAATTATAAAACTTGAAAGAAGGTTTAACACTATTTTAGCCCTATACCTACAGTCTTAGCAATTAGAGAAAGAGGCAGGAGGATCATGAGTTAGAGGCTAACTTGGGTTATAAACTAAAACCCTGGAGTTGGAGAAGATGGGAGAGAAAGTGGGGGAAGAAGAAAAAGCAAATTAACAAAGATTTCAACCATAATCTTTGTTGGGGAACATTTGATTGTTAGACTCAGAATTCCATTCATTCAATGGCATTTGTTGAGCACGACACATTTTCTTAGTATCAGGACAGGTAATAAGGATGAAAATACCACTCAAAAGTCATCTGGGCCAAGGATGTCTAGAGACAATGGGCAACACACTTATGTGAACTACTCAACAACAACAGCAAGGGCAGTTACAGATTATGCCACTGGTATAAGTTAAAAAATCAAAGTATTATAAGAAGAATTTTCCAGAAACACTCTGTTCCCAGAAATATTTCTTGAAATGCACCAGAAACAATGAAAAGATATAGGAAGAATGGAATAGAAATAGCCTCCTGGCCAGCATGGTATACAACATCGAGTGTTTAGATAGAAGTTAGACTAGGAAGTCCTCTCACAGGACAGCTTTAGAAGACTTTCATTTCACTGATGGGATAAATGAGAAGCAAAAAATAAAAATGGGAGCTAAAGGAAGATACCTTTTCAAGGAGAGAGAGTGATGATGTATGTAGTGAAAACATTCTCAAATTCCATTTTCCATGTAATGGTCATGTGCCGTCATTTGTGGTCAAGAGATGCTAGAGAGATTCAGGGCTTTGGGGGAGGACAAATGGAACAGGGAGAAGTAAGGAAGGCTTCTGAAAATGACCTTGGAAAATTCCAAGGAAGAAATTATCATGGTCAGAACTCTTCAATTTTACTGAGTAAAAAGAATTCACCTTCAAATTGAATGACACAGAATTTTAAAATGTAAGGTGATATTTAAAATACAACTCTGCCACACCAGGGAAGTATAAACTATCACAATTCTAAATGAGTGTATTGATGGCCCTTTTAAGGAAAGGACAAATCTTCCTAGAATCTACCTTATAAAATCTTAGAATTTAAACACGCTTAGAACATACAAACTAATGAATCTATGAATGAATGTCAAAAGAGGACATGTAAAATTCTATGTTCATTGTGAATATGTTGATCTGATGTAGCTAGATATTGCATAGTATACTATATAGTATGTATTTCCATATTTATAATTCAATACACATATTCTGTACAAGAAGTTTGCTATTGTATTATTTTATTATAACTGTGAAATTCTGTATAAAAATTTAATTGTCAACCCACAAGGGAGAAGCTAGGTAAACTGTAGTACATAGGTAAAATAAAATTATACATATTGATTAAAAAACTTCACAGATCCACAAAGCACTGATAAGCAAGGCCCTCTGTTATGAAATGCTGCAGCATGCTAGGTCAAGAGCAGAAACATGCAGGACACCTAAAGGGTACTTCAAAATGGATCAGGAGCATGGTACAGAATGTTTCCAGTATAACACATCAGAGACTGAAAAAACAGGAGCCCTGCTACCCACAAGGGAGAATGGAGAATGTATTAGCTCAGATACAGGGTGCAAGACATTTTAGTTGGAGGTTTGGACAATGTTAGAAAAAGATTTAGACTTTTAATCCAAGTACAAATTGCTATTTATTTTAAAAAAGAAAAAAGCGAGCAGAGGGCAATTACATTCTAGAGGAGTTTCCAAAGGTAGCTCTGCATGGTACAGCTACAAATGCAAGGAGGTAGGTCAAGGTGGGGGGGGGGCTGAATGACAAGTTGGGAGTGCAGGCAATCAATGCAGAAAGGAGTAAATATTAAGTGGGTATAGAATATTGATGGTCAACAGTTGTTTCTGGGTTTAGCACTAAAGTCAGAATTATAATCCTTTTGTCTTTTACACTAACAAACAAGTCTTGAGATAAAAGCGTGCAATACTTAGATCAGTGTTTCAGAATAAACCTTTTCAAAGGTTTAGTACTTTTTCCTTCTACCAATAATTCAATACACTTTGTTTTTAGTAGCAATGAAACTACAGGATAGCAAGGTGCTACTGCTTCTGTGACTGACAAACTGTATGGGGACAGCAAGTATGAAAGAATTTACCACCTTATAATTACAGCTCTGATCTGACTTTTCTTTCTCCTCTCCTTGCCAGCATCCTCATACTTCTGTCTCCTAAAGTTGTGACATGCATAGGAACGAGGTTCACCAGTCATCCTTACTTTATATCCTCATCGTTGGCAAAAATCACGACGGCCCTGGAGTTGGGGGTGTCCAAGAGCTGTTTGATAATTCTATCAAAGTCAATGGTCCTGTCTTTGCGCTCTTGGGGGATTCTCACGGACTGGGCAATGCAGAGCCCACCTGTTCAAGAAAAGAAAGCAGAGTGTCAACAAAGTCCCAATGGAGATAGCAAAGGACACATGACACTTAGATTTTAAAGATCAGCTCCAAAGAAATAAAATGAAAAGCAAAGTAATCAACAAGAATACCCACCAGCTATTACAAACATAGCTTTGGTTCAATTTGGTTCAATTATTCCATGTTATCTTTTGAGAAATCATGCAGTATATTAGTAACCAGTGTTCTCTGTTTTTGCTGGAGGACAGGACAACTAAAAAGGTTTCTGACTCCATGATTCTCAGAGTCTTCATGATACCAGTCAACTTTAATGAATGCCTTGAGGAGAAATGGGGGCAGGGACAGTTTACTGAACAATTGATGAACTTCATCTTATTCCAGATCTTGTTCAGTCATCACTTTTGTATTTTACAAGATGCACATTCAAACAGGCCAGTTAAGATGAAAGATATAGAGTATATTTGTAGAGAAAAATTATGAAGACCATCCCAGGGTTAGAACACTTAAGTGGAAATGAGAAAAATACCTTGCTTCTCCTGCCATGCACCAGGGAGACATGAAAAATGAACTTTCTTAAAACTGGTTCATGGGTATGTGTGGGTATAAGTAGGCTTCCACAAACACAGAAAAGCATAAAACCTGATCCCAAATTTATACTTTAAATCTCAGTTGGTATTAGCGCTATGCAAACCAGCTTTCCAATGTTAGCCTTCCAGAAAATACCTGTGATACTCTTCAATGTACAGATAGCCTACAATGTTATAACTAGAAGAATCACCCTCACTGAAATTTCTGGAACCATATTTACAACAAGAGTACACATTCCTTTCAAGTGCAAGTGAAAGGTTCTTTAAGAGGAACAATATCCTGGCCTTAAAGTAAAAGGAAATGAAAGATCTCAGAAATCATACAAAGTATAATCTCAGATCTTACAGTAGAAATCAATAACAAAATAATAGGAAGATCCAAATATTTAAAAGTTTAACAGAAACACATTGAATTTACCCTTGGGTCAAATAGAAAGTGTCCAAAGAAATTAATACTTTGAGAAGACTTAAAATAAAACTACAGTACAGAAATTAACAGATACTAGCTGAAATAGTAGTTAGATGAAAACATGGGCAAACTCTGCTCCCAAAGAGTCACAGTAATCAAGATTTTTTAAAATATTGTATCTGCAGATTCTATATTTCACATTGGTTTCTTAAATATATGTAAAATTCTTTGTGGAGTCTAGTCTAAAAGATATACACATAATACAAGTGTAAACTGCCACAGTTTAAAAAATAGGAAGTATCCAAATATTTTTGAGGAAACCACTCTTGAAACCTGTCTGTAACAAAACATTAAATCATTAACAGATTAAGAGGTAGAAATGAAGAGGAAGATGGAGGGAGACAAGTACTGGGGAGTAGATATAACAGAAATACATTGTATACATGTATGAAATTTTCAAAGAAGAAAAATAGAATTTAAAACATTAATAGACCTATAGCCAGAACCTGGAAGCAACCTAGATGCTACTCAACTGAAGAGTGGATAGAGAAAATGTGGTACATTTACATAATGGAGTACTACTCAGCAAAAACAATAAAAACAAAAAACAATGGAACCTTGAAATTCACTGTCACTAGAAGAAACCATTCTGAGTGAGGTAACCCAGTCACAAAAAGACAAACATGGTAAGTACTCTCTCGTATATGGATTTTAGACATGGAGCAGGGGATTCCTAGCCAGGAATCCCACAGGCAGAGAGTCTGGAAAACAGGGAGGACCCTAGGACAGATACGTATGATACTTTGGAGAAGGGGAATTGGACAGAAGGTCAAATAAAGAAAAATGTGCAAGAAAAAGTAAAGTTGTTTGTTTGCATGATATGATGGCATATACAGAACAACCAAGCCCCCCAATAATGACTATACATCACCAAAACTATTAAGTAGCTGAAACAAGCTAAAGGTGCAAACTCCATTTATAAAATCAATCAAGTATATACATAGCAGCAAGAAATACATTATTATTAGATTATGAACACTGACATTAATAAGACCACACAAATATAACACTGACACCATGAAATATGTTCAGGACTTATATCAAAAACTATAATGGGAAAATGTAATGGATTTTAAAATTTGGATAAGTTCTCTATATTTTCATCTACAGGTGAAATAAAATGTCAATCAACCTCTCATTCTGCATTTATACAGAAAGGTAAACTCAATAGAATAGGCAAAACAATTCTAAGAAGAGAAAATTAAATACACATGTTGTCCAAATTTAAGACTTAATATGAAGTTACAGTATTAAGACAAGAAGGACCTTATAAAAATGATAAATATGTGACTGAAGAGCTACATATATATGCAAAGATGCAAAGGGGCATCAAAGAAGAAAGGTCAGTCTTCAACAATTGGAGCAAAAAATGGCTATGCATACATAGAACACATGTCAACAGCTATCTAATACTCTTCATAAAATTTTACTCTACGTGGAATGTGGACCAGAATATATAACCAGTGCCAGAAAACTTCTTAAAAATGAGTGAGCACTGTTTGACTTTCAGTTTAATGGTCAGTTTTTCAGTTTTTAGATATAAAAAAGAAAAGAAAAGATCCAGAATGTACAAAGGAGAAAGAATTGGTAAATTGGATTTTGTGAAAACTCAGAACATTTGTTATGTGAAAATCAGTGATAAGAACCATAACAAAAGCCAGAGACTAGGATGAAGTCACACATCTGATAATGCCCTTCTATTAATAATAATGTATAAAGTAAGCAATATACTAACAGACATAGAAGAAAAGTTGGACAAAAGAATCCAAATTCTCACTTAGAAGCATTTAGAATAGGTACCTGAAAAGATAGGTAACAGCAGACATGAGAGAAGTGGTAAAGTAGTACCAGATACCAACACACAGCCATGAGAGCTGTTTAATAACAACAACATCCTACCAACACCAAAAGCTGGAAATCATTCAGAATGCAAAGATGTCTGATCATTACTAGTCCAATACCCTGAGCCATGGCACAGTCTTCAGAAGGTGACTTGACATGCTGTAGGTTTAGCACAGTTACTGATGGGTGAGGTACGTCTGTATACTGTGCATATATGTTTCTCTTATTGGTTGATGAATAAATTCTGTTTTGCTAGTAATCAGACAGGAAGTAGAGGCAGGGCTACAAGACTAGGAGAATTCTGGGAAGAGGTAAAGTAGGGAAGCAGTCACTAGAGAGATGCCATGTAGTTACCAGGAAGATAGGATGCCAGGCATTCTCTGGTAAGCAAACACCACATGGAGATAGACAAATTAATAGAAATGGGTTAATAATAAAGAGATAGATAGCCAATAAGAAGCCTGAGCTATCGGCCAAACAGTTTATAAATGATATAAGCCTCTGTGTGTTCATTTGGGGCTAAACAGCTGTGGGACCAGATGAGACAGAAACCCCTTCAACAAGTTACCATCTGAAGAAGCAGGTCCACCCTAAGCTTTTACAGAAGTGAACTGAAACTTTATTTTAACAGACATGTGGATGATCACATATAACTTTATTTGTGATCCTTACCAATGAAAGTACATCAGTTTTGACACATAAGTGACTACCAAACTGTAGCTAATATACAAGTCAGAATGCTTCTTAGCAGGTACAGGAACCATTTCTATATGCAAGAGGAATGAAGCTGAGATACATTGAACTATATGTAAGAAAATGAACTCTAAAGACTCAGTGTCCTACTATAGATATAACAATGTGAAAACATGGAAAGTGGAAATGAAGAAGGGGGGCAGTGTAATACAGGGGTTGTCTGAGTAGGAGAGGTTCACAGAAACAGCGCCACACAATAGAACTGCATGGTGACAGGCATGTGGTAACATAGTGACAGTTCTTATGGCATGGAATATGGCATTGTGGGCATAGGGTGAGAAAGACACACACATGCATACATACATATATGCGCCATGGTAACATATTTAATGCATACAACCTCATACCCAACTGTGACAATTTGACCTCATTGTATTATGATTGTGAAAAGAACCCGAGGACGTGTGGAAAGGTGATGACCTATGTCAACTTGGAATAGCAGTGTTTTAATTATGAATCCCGTGACTAAGATTTGCATGGAAATTGATATTATGATTTGTAAACTTCCTTGTGACACAGTTTTTCAATCTGAAGCTATTTCTACATTTGGCTTGAACAAATAAGATGCTCTAAATAACGGAAGTCAGGTAACTAGTTGCTCCCTAGGATAGAGTTATTCATTGTGCTCTTCTCAATGATTTCACTTTGTTTGTGGATAGCTCATCTATGTTGACTCCTGTGTCTGTATGATATTCATATAGCATGTTCATTCATTAATTTTTATACACTTCTTTATTCTTCTGTGTAGAATAACTTCACATAAGCAAAGGTGTAATGTGGCATGATACCTGTTATGTCAAATTGTAATCTGTGACCTAAAAAGAATTTCATTTTGGAGAGAGAGAGAGAGAGAGACAGAGACAGAGACAGAGACAGAGACACAGAGAGAGATAGACCCAGAGAGAGGCGGGAAGAGTAAACTGCATTCACGTTAGTGTATATACACACACATGCAAGTGCGCCATAGAGGATCTAAATGCAATCATATGTCACAACAATATACTTAGTATCCAGTTTTTTTTGTTTGGAGAAGCCTTTCAACAGAGTAAACAGTGTCTCCCTTTGAAAATGGATAACTCTATTGACTACACAGCAAGAAACAAAATTTTAGCCTGGATTACCATTCAATGTAAAGAAGCAAGAAGTGTAAAAAAATATGAATTAGCAAAAGTGCTAAGTAGACATAAAATAACAAGGGGAGTCAACATGGATAAGCTTCCCAAGAGCAAAGTGAAATCACTAGGAAGAACAAAACAAATAATAATATCATTCAGTGAAACAAATGCCCACACTTTCATGTGCCAGAATGAGTAAATGAATACACAAAAATGAATGAAACTTCCTTACAGAAC